CCCATAAAACAAGTTTATATATGTTAATGTTCATATATGTATATGTTTACTATACATATATGTATACACAATAAAATTTAGACACACAATCACTGAGGATGCATATAGCCAACTTCAGGGTAATGATACTGGGAGGGAGGAAAAGTACTGGGGGAGAATACAAAAGAGGTTTGAATCATAACTAAAAGTCTTTCCAAATAAATAAATGAATGATATATGCTATATTTAATATGTGTTATATCATTTTATATATTATTTTATTAATTGAAAAAGAGAGAGAAAACCAAGAAATGGGTTCAGAAATATTAATTAAATTTCCCAAGATCACAGTCTATGAGTGGAAAATCTGGGGAATACAGACTTGTGATACCAAAGTGTGTTGAATTGACTGGCTGATTTGTTTTTGCACAAACAAGGGCAGAGCCTGGCATGTAGAGAAGGTGTTCAGAATGACAGGCAACAGCTGGGAGAGTTCCTGGAGGAAAGGGCCCTGCTGGCAGCGGTCTGCTATTTAACGAGGGTGGCCCAGAGCTGCATTTAGAATCTAGAGATCTGTTCCAGCTGAAAAGAGGCCACATTTCAAGAGAAGCAGAGACTGTGCCCTAAGAAAACTTAGAGATCATCTAGTTTAACTGGCTCAGTTTACAGATTTTCAGAAACAGAGACTCAGAGAGGTTAACTGGCCCAGAACATTCTTGGGAATGGGAACAGTGATACCAGCATTACGGTGATGGATGTTGATGTTGCTGATAATAATAATGGAGATAAAGATGATAGTGGTAGTGCTGATAGCAGTTGGCTTTTTTTTGAGCATTAATCTAAATTCTAAGTAGTCACCCAAAATGCTTTATAAGTATTCCCTTGATTACCTCTCACAGTAACTCAAAAAGTTAGAGACAATCATCATTTTCATTTCAGATGAAAAGAGAATCTCTCAGGGTCTCATAACTTATAAATGACAGAGTGGATTCTGACCCAGGCAGTCTGATTTCTGAGCTGGAACTCTTAACCATATATTATGCTGAAGACTCAAATATTAGGGGTAGGGGGAGGAGCAAGTGGAAGCTTGATCCCATCTCTCTCAGGTTTATCATATCCTATCTAATAAAAGACAAAAAGGGTAATTGACTGTACCTATGCTATGCTTCCCATTGGCTAATCAGGGCGATATGCAAATTAACTGTTAACTAAGATGGCGGCTGGCAGCCACACAGGAGGCGTGCTTGCTCCAGTGATGGAGGAAGCCAAGGTTCCCCGCCTGCTGCGGCTCGGCTCAGAGCCTGAAAGCAACAAAGTTTCAATTATAGAAGCTAAACAAACCCCAGATACCTGCTTTCAGCAGGCCGTGGCCTCAGAGCTGGAGCCAGCTCTCAGCTCCAGTGACAGTAACAAAGTTTCAATTATAGAAGGTAAATAAATCCCAGAATAAAAAAAAAAGAAAAGAAAAAAAGGAGAGGCTGGGAGCTTCAGTCCTGGCCAGCCTGAAAACGGCCCTCAGCCCCTCACCCAGACTGGCCAGGCACCCCAGTGGAGACCCCCACCCTAAAGGGGGTGTGGCCAGCCTGAAAACAGCCATCAGCCCCTCATCCAGGCTGGCCAGGCACCCAAGCAGGACCCCCACCCTGAACCGGGACACCCTTCAGGGCAAACCAGCCAGCCCCCACCCGTGCACCAGGCCTCTATCTTATATAGTAAAAGGGTAATATGCAAACTGACCCTAACAGCAGAAAGACTGGGAATGACTGGTCACTATGACACACACTGACCACCAGGGGGCAGATGCTCAATGCAGGAGCTGCCCTCTGGTGGTCAGTGAGCTCCCACATGGGGGAGCTCTGCTCAGCCATAAGCCAGGCTGATGGCTGCCAACACAGTGGTGATGGTGGGAGCCTCTCCTACCTCCTCAGCAGTACTAAGGATGTCCGACTGCAGCTTAGGTTTGCTCCCCGCTGGCAAGTGGACATCCCCCGAGGGCTGCCGGGCTGCCAGAGGGATGTCTGATTGCCAGCTTAGGCCCAATCCCCCAGGGAGCAGGCCTAAGCCAGCAGGTGGTCATCCCCCGAGGGGTCCCAGACTGCGAGAGGGCACAGGCCGGGCTGAGGGACCCCCCCGTCGAGTGCACAAATTTTTGTGCACTGGGCCTCTAGTTCTTATATATTTCCCATTACTACAGATCCAAGTAGCTTAGAATTTGACAAATCTGATGCCTATGTGAATTCTGTATGGTTTCAAGTCAATCTGGGACCACTGGCTCCTAACCACTGGCCTGCCTACCTGATCACCCCTAACCACTCTGCCTGCCTGCCTGATCGCCCCTAACCATTTGGCTGCCTGCCTGATCATCCCTAACCACTTGCCTGCCTGCCTATCACCCATAACTGCCTCTGCTTCGGCCCCCGCACCTGGGACCCGGGCTTCCCTCCTTCTGGCCAGCCACAGGCACCCAGGACCTGGGCCGGCTTCGCCTGTGCCGGCGCAGGCACCCAGGATCCCAGGCAGCGCCACCAGGGCTCCAGCTTTGTCAGGAAGGATGTCCAGAATGACGTCCGGAAGACAACTAGTCTATCTGGTCTAATTAGCATATTACCCTTTTATTAGTATAGATTTGGGACTTCTTTTCATTGAAGGACTATGCAGTGATAGATATGGACGTATACCAAGATGTTATGTAACAGAGAGTTGAGGACAAAATCCTGGTGAATTTTAGAAAATCAAATGAGAAATTGTAGAGTGCTAACACATGCAGGGCTCTCAAAGGATGGGAAATGTAAAGAAGGAAGGAGTGGTCAACAGTGTAAAACTGTGGCTGAGAAGTTAAGTCAGATAAAGATAAAAGAAAGATGGTTCTATAATGTCAGTAGGAAATTTTTGGTGACATTTAAGAGGACACTTACAGTAGACTGATAAAGCCCAGTTGAGTAGTGACAAAACAATACTAAAGGCCATAGGAAAGAAAGGGATGGGGATAGGTCAGTGTAGTAACAGTTGCGGTGGTGGTGTGGTGACAGATTGGCCAGCGAAGAGGCTGAATGTGTTCAAAAGAGATTTGACAACAGGCAGTTCATAAGAATAAGCATATGTTAGAATGAATTTAATCTACATGGAAGAGCATTAACTTAAATTTGATATCAGAGCAAACTTTGATATCTTTTTCATAAATCATATCCCCAAGGTCATTTCTTAAGACCCATTTTAGGAAGGTGTTTTCACCAGAAAAGCTTTCTTTTATTTGCGCCAAAATTCAGTGACAGTAAGCTACAAAAGAAAATCTGTCAATTCTCAATTATGTTTACTTTCTGGTGTTCCACTTGTGATCTCATCAGAAATGATTGAAAGTGTTATATTTTGAAAATGTTATATGTTGAAAATGTATCACAATTTTCACAGAGACATTTAATCTTGGACCAAGGCAGTCAGGTGGCATTATCCTCTAGAATCCTCTATGTATATAATAATCAAGGGAAAGAAAGATTAAAGGACAAATGGTATCTTTGTACATTTTATGCTATGAAGATTATGATTATTGCATTATTTTGTATATCTACACCAACCATGGCATTTCTTCCAACTTTGCCATTGGAAAAATTTAATGGCAAATACACACTCATCAGATCAGATCAAATGAATTCAGTAAAAGAAAAAACAGAAAATCAAGTGCACTTAGTTCTGAATTTTCCCAAGATAATGTGGCCTGAGTAAGATGACATAAAAATCACTGTTTTATTTTTGTAGTTGTGAAATAGTCAGGAAGAAAATAAGACCTGGCAACCGATTGTGGCTTAAAAAATAAAAACTCCTTAAGGTGAAGGGATTAAGAAGTACAAATTGGTAGCTATAAAATAGTCACAGGGATGTAAAGTACAGCATAGGGAATATAATCAATAATATTAAAATAACTCTGTATGGTGCAGGGGGGTAGTTAAAATGTTGGGGAGACCACTTTGTAAAATATATGATTGTCTCACCACTGTGCTGTACACCTGAAACTAATACAAAATAATATTGAATATAAACTGTCATTAAAAATAAAATTTTAAAAACTCCTTAAACGTTCTTTATAGTACCTTTAAGCAAATTGCTTGTATTTTTTAAAATAAAGTCATAATTTGAAATGGAAACAAAACTGTTCCAAATATTTTAGGAATATGTTTGATCCTATTGCTGTTCCTCTCTAGTAGACAGTCCTACACTTGGAATATGATGCAACAATAAATGTTTATTAGTTATTTCTGATTCAAGTGGCTTATTATACATACAGCACTAAACTCAGAAAAGTTTTATCTCTATTTACTGATAATCAAGCGGTGTTGCTTATTGGACATGAAGACCAGAATACCCAAATAAATCTTCATATTTGTCGTGCATTTTGTACATTCAGTAGTACCAAGTCAACTGAGTTTTTCTTCCATAGTATATGGGAAGAAATCCCAAATGCTTCTTTCTTGAGGTCTTAGTTTACAAGCGCAGTTTCAGTGATCGTGCAGTCCACCTCTTCCGTCTTTAGAGCCCCCAGAGTGAGTCTGCATATGCATAAATCACCTCCACGCCCCCCTGCTCCTCCACCTCCATTACCATAACCAGCACTGACGACAGCCAGCCAGAGGTGAATCACTGCTTTCCCATCTATTGTTTGTTCAGCCAGGTTTAGGGATTTCAAAATTCTCAACCATCTTCCTGTGATTCTGAATAAAACTGTTGTACAAAGTAAGCTTAGCAGAGACATCTCCCTCTCTTTTATCTTTATAGACTTAAGAAACATAAAGCTGAGAGATTTTCCTATTAATATAAAAATTATTTATTACAGAAGTTAACCACCAATCAATCCTACAGCCTGTCTACACATATTACAATTCCAGCTGGAAATAAAATAAAAATGAGCAAGGGTCCATGTCTGATATCATAATCAGCACTAAAAATCCTGTTTTGTTAGGAGCTCGATCTTTAAGACAGGAATTTATGTTGTACTCAAGCAAAAACTGTGTGACATGTGATCTACTTACCCCTGCAAGGCTTTCTCTCCAAACCAATCTCCTTTGCCTAAAGTCCGAAGAAAGACTGGGTCTTCACTTGGTGAGTCTTCGCGAGTGACATTTACCTGCAAAGAGAAACAATGAAAGTCTGTATCCATTGCGTACTCTGGATGACCCAATGAGCATTCATTGATACTGCTAATTCCACTTTTCTTTTTCTTTTCAAATTACTTTTATGAGGAATACAAGTATATTATCACTAAAGGGGCCAAAGAAATGACCTTCAAATATTTTTATACTTTCAATTTGTTTTTAAGAAATAATAAATTATTCAGAAACTTGAATTCTAATTAATCCTCATCCTTATCCTATTTCCAACCTCCTATGAAGCAACCATTATAATAAATTTAGTGACCATTCCTTCCATCCTTTATTCTGTGTTTATATGCATGTGTTTTTAAAAATACTGTATATAAATAGCATAATATGGTATGTATCATTCTGTAACTTACACATTTTCTTTTAACATTATTTTAATTATTATTCCATGCTTCTAAATATAGAGTTCATCCATTGCCTTCTTCTACTCTGTACATATACCAATTTATCAATTTCCATATGCATGGACATTTATGTTCCTTTTTTTTTGGCTACAATGAACATCTTTCTCCACACCTCTACATGCACATACATTTTCTCTACCACATGCCTATCTCCTTTAAGAAAAATCCAGCCTTGCCCTGGCTGGGTGACTCAGTTGGATAGAGTGTCATCCATACTCCAAAGGTTGCAGGTTTGATCCCGTCAGGGTATTTATGGGAGGCAACTGATCGATGTTTCTCTCTCTCTCCCTTCCTCTCTCTCTCAAATCAATGAAAACATATCCTCAGGTGAGAATTTTAAAAAACAAAAAAAGAAAAACCCAGCCTTCATTCAAAAGCCAGCCACATTTTCATGAAGGTCTTCCCGCAGGTCTCCGATACAGTCTTCAGGTCCTCACAATCCACATTCACAGAATTTCTTTTTTAAAAAGACATAGAAATTACATATATGTCTTTTAAAAGCAAAACAAATAATATGCTCTTCAAAGAAATAGATATTTCTTTGGCATTCTCTACAACTTAGAATAAGCACTTAATAAAGAGCTGTAAATTGTTTGAATGGAAAAACTTTCTTACAAGATATCTCAGCCCATATAGGACTTGTGACTTGAGTAATAATCCACAGAAGGAAAGCGATGCAATAAGTTCTACCTTTATGTTAATTCAATCTCCCTCCAGCTCTACTGATTTCATAATACTGGCTATGTGCCACCCAGAAAAATTAAGTGGTAGTTAAAATACAAAGGCCTGGAAAATGGAGTAAAACTAATGTCCTGAGGCAATGACAGACACTTAAACACATTTAAATACACTATGCTTTAGATTTTTGAATTTAGAGATTGGATGTCAAAGACCAGAATTTTTATAAGTATGAAGAAGGTCTTTAAAAAGCACAGAGAATTCAATTATTATTCTCCACTGATCCATTTGACTACTCCTCCACACAGAGTTTCAAAACCACAGGAATGCGGGTTTTAACAATCTTACCATTGAGCTATATCATAGAGATGCTCATTTGCATGTTGACAAGGCTTTTACAGATGTGGATGGAAATACACTAGTCCAGTGATTCTCAAACTTCATGGATTCAAAATCAGATATAAGGATATACTGTATAACTGTACATTTGCCATCCTATATAATAATAAACAAACATGGTAATTGACCATACCTTCACTACACCTCCCATTGACTAATCAGCATGGTATGCAAATTAACCGCCAACAAAGATGGCGGCTAGTTTGCATACTACAGGCAGGGCGGGACAGCGCCATCCCGCCTGCCCTGCCGCCATCCGGGCCTGCTATCTGCAACCCAGGGCGGCGGGCATCCTGTGTGCGACCCGACCGAGGGTGGCGGGGCGGGACAGCGTGGCTCCTCTGTCACCCCAGCTTCCATATCACAGCTCCCTTGGGGGCCTAAGCCTTTAGTTGGACATCCCCTGAGGGCTTTCTGGCTGCCAGAAGGATGTCTGACTACAAGCTTAGGCCTGATCCCCCGGGGAGTGGGCCTAAGTCGACAGGTGGACATCTCCCAAGTGGTCCTGGACTGCAAATGGGCACAGGCCAGGCTGAGGGATCCCCCCGCCCGAGTGCACAAATTTTTGTGCACCAGGCCTCTAGTTTGGTTAATAAAATATATTAGAAATTCTAAATGGCAGAATTATGCAGGCCATGGAGAAATTTCAGTGTTATCTTGAAATGTTCTTTAAAGATGTTACTGAATTGATCTAATAAAAAGTGAACCATCTACAGAATAAACCACTTTCTGCTTATATGATAAATGTGAAGAAAAATCTAACTGGATAAAATTATAATGTGAAAAAAAAATAAGCACCTCAAAGAGCAAGAATAAAGCTTTCCTCTGAAGTTGTAATTTCCACATTTTTCTTTGTATGCATGATGAATCATTCTAAATATGAAGATACCATTATGGACATTTGTATCCTTAATTCTGAAGACATTTCAGAGTAGAGAAAGTTAAATAGAGATAGACTCTCTAACTTTGGCCTGTATTTTATCATTTTTATTTAAACCACAAAGTACTTTCTGATCCACAATGCTGTAAAATGAACTAGCTATGGAGCCTTCTATTTGAATCCATGCTACCTGGCCACCTTGTCCAAAAATGGAAGAGAGAGAGAGAGAGAGAGAGAGAGAGAGAGAGAGAGAGAGAGAGAGAGAGAGAGAGGTGTATTAAATGAGAAAAATCTATCAACACATCCTCTTAATAGTAAGTGCCAGATATACTACAATGCCACTGTTCTCAAAACTGCCTGGTACTGGCACAAGAACAGGCATATAAATCAATGGAACAGAGACCCCAGAAAGCCACTGTAGCCAATTAATATTTGACAAAGGAGGCAAGAGCACACAATGGAGTAAAGACAGTCTCTTCAATAAATGGTGCTGGGAAAATTAGATACATGCAAAATTATAAAATTAGACCACCAACTTACATCATACATAAGAATAAGTTCAAAATGGATAAAAGGCTTAAATGTAAGTTGCAAAACCATAAAAATCTTAGAAGAAAACATAGTCAATAAAATCAGACACGTCATAAAATTTTTACTGATACATCTCCTAGGGCAAGAGAAACAAAGAAAAAATAAACAAATGTAACTATATCAAACTACAAAGCTTCTGAATAGCAAAAGAAACCATCCTCAAAATGCAAAGGGAACACCCGGTATGGGAGAACATAATACATCTGCTAAGGGGTTAATTTTCCAAAATATACAAAGAACTCAGATAACTCAACAACAAGAAGACAAACAATCCAATTAAAAAATGAGCAAATAATTTAAATAGACACTTCTCCAAAGAGGATATACAGATGGCCAATAGACACATGAAAAAATGCTCAATGTTGCTAATCATCTCAGAGATGCAAATTAAAACCACAATGAGACATCACCTCACACCTGTCAGAATGGCTACCAATAACAGATCAACAAATGACAAGTACTGGTGCTACTTATTTGATCAAACTGATTAATAAAAAATATTTTTAAGAAAAATATCTTGAATGTATCGAAAGAGTCTAATGTATTCTTACTCCTTCCCTCTTGGAATCCCTATGGTGCTCCAAAATATTGCCAATGGAATTGGTTCCTGTGGTATAATTTGCATGCCACTTTTATTTAGACTTGTTATGAAACTCATAAAACAGCACCACTAATGCACCTGTCTTCAGCTGAAACTGGTTTGCAAACAGCTTCTTTTAGGCAGTGCTGGGAATTTACAGTAATAGAGTATTCACATAAGCCTGTCAGAAATTCATCTTACCTGATAAACATATCATTCCCTGATAGCAAAGAATTAGCAATGTAATAAAGGAAAAATACATCCAAAGCATGAGGGTTAAAAGTCTCCCTGTGACCAATGGAATCACTTATATCCACGAAGATTTTCAATTTCCATGATTCTTTAGTTGGTGTTAAGAAATAAAACAGTAAATGGTAGGCTCTAACTATCCTATCTAATAATAGAGAAACATGGTAATTAACCGTAACTTTGCTACCCTTCCCATTGGCTAATCAGCGAGATATGCAAATTAACTGCCAGCCAAGATGGCGGCCAGCAGCCAGGCAGCTGAAGTGAACATGAGGCTTCCTTGCTCCAGTGAAGGAGGAAGCCAACGTTCCCCGCCTGCCGCAGCCCAGCTCTGAGCTTGCTCTCTAAGAAACAATGTTGCAAATATAGAAGCTAAACAAAACCCAGAAACCTGCTTTCAGTCAGCTGGGATCTCAGAGCTGGAGTCGCAACAAAGTTTCAAATACAGAAGGTAAACAAAGCACAGAAACCTGCTTTCAGCAGCCAAGGTCTCAGAGCTGGAGCCGAGCCTCAGAGCTAAAGCTGGCTCTCAGCTCCAGTGACAGCCATAGAAGGTAAATAAATCCCAGAATAAAAAATAAAAATAAAAAAAGGAGAGGTTGGAGCTTCAGTCACCCGCCAGCCTGAAAACGGCCCTCAGCCCCTCACCCAGACTGGCCAGGCACCCCAGTGGGGACCCCCACCCTAAAGGGGATGTGGCCAGCTGCAAACAGCCATCATCCCCTCACCCAGGCTGGCCAGGCACCCAAGCGGGACCCCCACCCTGATCCAGGACACCCTTCAGGGCAAACCAGCCGGCCCCCACCCATGCACCAGGCCTCTATCCTATATAGTAAAAGGGTAATATGCCTCACTGCCCCGGTGTCAAGCGGAGCTGTGAGGCCTCCCAGCACTGGGATCAGCGGAGCCACGAGGCCTCCTGGCCCCTGGAGCAGTATGACAGAGGGCAGCGCCCAAACCCCCTGATCGCCCTGCGGCTCTGTGCGTGACAGGGGGTGGCGCCACAACCTCCCCATCGACCCTGCCTTGAGTGTGACAGGGGGCAGCGCCCCAACCCCCCAATCTGCCCTACCCTGAGCGTGACTGAGGGTGGCATCGCAACCTCCTGATCCGCCCTGCTCTGTGGGTGACAGGGGGAGCTCCCCAACCCCCTGATGGGCCCTGCTCTGTGCGTGACAGGGGGCAGCACCCTAACCCCCTGATTGGCCGGCTCTGTGCGTGACAGGGGGTGGCGCCGCAACCTCCCCATTGACCCTGCCTTGAGTGTGACAGGGGGAGGCGCCCCAACCCCCCAATCGGCCCTACCCTGAACATGACTGGGGGTGGCATCGCAACCTCCTGATCCGCCCTGCTCTGTGCATGACAGGGGGCAGCGCCCCAACTCCCCAATCAGCCCTGCTCTGAGCCCGACCAGAGGCTGCGGGGCAGGCACCTAGGGATTGGGCCTGCCCTCTGCCACCCGGGAGTGGGCCTAAGCCAGCAGGTCGTTATCTCCCAAGGGGTCCCAGACTGTGAGAGGGATACCCCCGCCCCTCCAGTGCACAAATTTTTGTGCACCGGGCCTCTAGTTTATATATAAAACGTAAAATGCTAACACCTCTTATCTTCTAACAGTGGAAAACACAAGATATAGTTTTAACCATAACTATGGTCAGACGCATCATTCCAGGATGCCTTTGAAGAAGCTAGTCCCTGACTTCTATTTCTATCCCAGGCGTTCTGATATCAGTCAAAAAGTAGGTATGATAAAGGTATAAGTAGCATTTTCTTCACTTTAGTTTGACATGCAACGGTGTAAAACATTGGCATATGCACATTCTTGATTCAAAATTAGTCCAAAGAAGATTATCTAAAATCCAACAAGATTTATAATCTTTCACATATCCTGCTCACTATGGCTCTTTAAGTCTCTTTTCTAGGTATAAGATTCAGTCATATTTGCTAAATCATAGGAAATGAATATATTTATTTTTAGGTAACAATTCTAAAAATAAAAACATATAAATCTTCCCCCATTTCTTCCTATACTTAATACATGCAAATTCTTTTTAAAGATCATTTATAATAAATCAAAATAAGTTCAAATCAGAGGTTACAGTGCAATGATACTTAAATGCAAAATAATTATGACTTTATTGTTGAGAGAAATTTAAGGTATGTTTTTAAAGATATATATTTTAGCATTATAATTCCAGAGTGTGTGTGTGTGTGTGTGTGTGTGTGTGTGTGTGTATTGATTTCAGAGAGGAAGGAAGAGGGAGAGATAGAAACATCAATGATGAGAGAGAATCATTGATCTGCTGTCTCCTGCACGCCCCCTACTGGGGATTTAGCCCACAAACCAGGCATATGCCCTTAACTAGAATCGAACCTGCGACCCTTCAGTTGACAGGCTGACACTTTATCTACTGAGCCAAGCTGGCTAGGGCTAATTCCAGAGTATTAATCTACATAAGTCCCCATTTTCCAATTCACTTATTTTCTTAGTTATTTTTAAAATATATTTTTATTAATTTCAGAGAGGAAGGGAGAGGGAGAGAGAGACTGAAACATCAACAATAACAGAGAATCATTGATTGGCTAACTTCTGCACGCCCCCTACAGGGGATTGAGCCTGCAACTCGGGCATGTGCCCCTGACTGGAATCAAACCCAGGACCTTTCAGTCTGCAGGCTGACGCTCTATCCATTGAACCAAATGAGTTGGGGTTTATTTAGTTTTTAAATAAAAACTATAATAGATTCATAATATTAAAAAGTTTAAACAATATAGTAATGAATAAAATATAATTTTTTGCTTATTTCCTTTGTCTACCTCATTTATATTGTCCTAAAATTTAGCATCTTAAGAGTTTTTAGAATTCATTCAATATTTTTTTAAGAATATACAATAGGCCCTGACTGGTTTGGCTCAGTGGATAAAGCATCAGCCTGCAAACTCAAGGGTCCCAGGTTCGATTCCGGTCAAGGGCATGTACCTTGGTTGCGGGCACATCCCCAGTGGGGTGTGTGCGGGAGGCAGCTGATCGATGTTTCTCTCTCATCGATGTTTCTAACTCTCTATCCCGCTCCCTTCCTCTCTGTAAAAAATCAGTAAAAAAAAAAAAGAATATACAATAGAACATGCATATATTTATGTCTTTATTGCGCTCAGAGTGTTAAGCAACTTGCCTGTGGATACTAAACCTAACAAGTTATATAGCCAAATTAAAACTTGGGCCATCCGATTTCAAAGTCCAGATGTTTCATTATAGCATAATGACAGGATAGATTTTTTTACTGTTAAAATTTTTTAAAGCAACTTTTGTTTTTTCCTTTTTAATTATGTACTTTTAAATATGGAAATCTTCCCATTTGTGCAGACATATCAGTGGCATCTTGCATCATGATTATAGTATAGCACATAAACTATTTCCCAGTCTTTAGCGTTATATGTTTTCTTCCTTTGGGAAATTTATTTTCAAATATTTCTCTTTCAGCTTCAGAAACTGCAAACACTGGTATAGCTCTAGACCCTGCACCTGTGCTGCTCCCGGGGTCACTGAGGAACCCCGGGTCCCCTCCGACATCACTCTTGCTCTACCAGAGCTTACCTTTCCTTTGCTGATGATGAAGAAGGTGTCCCCTCTTGCACCTTGCCTGATGATGTACTCCCCATTTTCATAGTGGGTCTGAAAAATAGAAATAGCAACAGAAAAAAAAACACATTAAGAAAGAAGTCATTCACCAAACAACCCAACCTCTTCCAATATCAGCTCCTGTAGGAGTTTTACTCAAACCTAGAATCCATCATGGTTTAAGAATAACTAATAGTCAATGAACATAATAATTGCATAGAAGTCATTTCTATCATATTCATTTTTAAACTATTTTGTTAATGCCATTTTTCCAGATGATTACATTCATAACTTTCAATCCAATCATTTTAAAAGTTTGATGAAAATATTCTTTTCTCTCATCAACTGAGCATAAAATAAAACAGCAGAGCTGCTAATTAAACTGGTCTCCTGTATTATTTTGTTATTCTCATTTAGCTTTAGTATTCTCCTAACGATGGCCTTTTTTTTTCCCTGAGAAATTACTGTGGCATCTGAAGATCTTCATTTTGAAATCATGTTGACTTTTAGTGTGGGTTTGATGGCCCTAGTTACTTTTTAAGGCACTGCTTCATGCTTTACTGTCCTTGCTTCAGCAATTTAGATTTGGCTCTGTCAAACAGAACGTCTTCATTTTAGGGACTAAAGTCTAGCCGGGCATCTGTGAGCTCATAAACTACCAAATGAGGAGCAAAGGAAGGCAGAAAGAAGAGGACCACTGTCCGCGTGTCAGTATTCTGACCCTGTCACAGCCACTAGGTTCATTCCCAGGTTTGAGATAATTCCTGAAATAGACAGAAGTAATTTCTTTAAGGGGAAGTGGAAGAAAGTGTATTGCTGTGTCATGAGGTGTAACAGGGAAATGAGAGCTGTGCCATCTGCCTTCTTCTCTGTAGCTTAGCAAGGGAGCCATATTTGGAGAAAGGAAATATTGCTTTGCACACTCCTTAGGGAAGAGACTTTGTGGTTTGCATGTGACTTGGCTGTGATTTGTCTTTACACTTCAGTACCACATTTCTGAATACTTTAGTCTATGTGCTCTTAAAATTGCCTTTCATTAATACTTGACATTGAGAAAAGCCATCATTTTCTTAATATGGAAAATTAACATACTACCTAATCTCTCTGTGTGTGTTTTTTGCTCAAACACAACTCATTTTCTTATAAAAAGCTTTAAAATTAGGATTATAGAACACACATTCTTCAACTGATTTATTTCATTTAACAAGATATCTACTAGTATGGTCTTGCTGCTTTGAAAAGATCTGTATGACATATAGATTTGAAAAACAAATGGTGATTCCTACTTTCATTTATCAATTCAACAAACATTTCTGAGTGTCTCTGATCAGGTCTGATGATGCAAAGATGAGTCAGACAAAAATCTCATAGTAGCGCCGACTGGTACATCTTTCTTTGATGGCAGCAATGTTATATAGCTGCATTGTCCAATCTGGCAGCCTCTAGCTGAGCTGTTGAAATGTGGCCAAGGTGACTAAGAAGCTGAGTTTTTAAGTATATTTAATTTTAACTACTCATATGTGGTTAGTAGCGATTATATCAGATAGGGCGGGTAGTAGCTAAAGTTGACCAGGGAAGAGTCTTTGTCTGTAGCAGTGCCAGCCTGACCTAGCCTCTCTGTCATCTCAGTTCAGTGCAGTCAGGAGGAAGACGTGTGAGTGAGAAGCTTCTAGCTGAGCCCAGCCTCAGCATTAGAGTGTCCACATCTAAAGCCCCAAATACCTTAGGGCAGAGACAAGCCATTTCTATCACATCTGAATTCCTGACCCACGAAATCTGAGAACAAAATGGCTCTTCCTCTGTGCCACTGGGTTTCAGGGTGGTTTGTTACACAGCAGTAAATAACCTCAACAGGCAGAGAGGGGGCTGTGACCCGGTATGTGGCTCCTGCCTTCTCCTGGAAGCTCTGGCTTTGATTGGTTCTAAAGTTCAAGCCCATCAGCTGCTGTGGTGAAAGATGGTGTCTTCCCCATCTTTGGGGTCTCAGCTGAGAGGGGAGGGAAGAGTCTGGAACCCAGCCCAGTCAGAATGGTATCCCTAGCACAGTGGGCAAAGCACTTTCATGACCCTTGTCTTGTGGAAGCTTTGCAATAACCAGAGGAGGGGTTTCAATATGAGAAGTTGAAGCAAACACAGTGACTAACTAGCCAAAGGTCATATCGTCAATAAGAGGTTAAAGCAGCACTCAATGCAGGTACTTCTTTCCTGTCCCATGGTGAACTGTGCTGGAGTTAGTGAAAAATATGGGCCATTCTCCTCCACTTCCCCACCCCAGCCTGTGGCTGGAGGGGTTTGTGTGGACAATCACTAGCATCTTATACTTTGCAAAGAAGAGATGTGTCCAAGTCACCTGTCAGGGATAAACAAATAGACTGGTCCCAGCTCCCTGGTTGTAAGTAAAAGAAAATCCAACCATGACTAGCAAAATGGGAAGGTACTGAGTAACAAAATAGTTAGTGGCATCCAAAACTTCTGGATCCTGGGGTTAAATCAGACCTTGGCCTCCCTCTTGTCCTTACAAGTCTGTCTGTCACACACTAGCTTCTCATGAGGGTCCAGGGTTTGCCAAGATGACAGTCGGTTCCCCTCCTGTCCAGACCAGCTGGCTCTTTCATGATTTTAGGTCCTTCATCCCGCAGAGTAGAAAGTTGAACAGGAATATCTGCAGACTGTTTATTAATTCATGGAAATTATCCAATCACCTTCTTAATATTATCTGATAGGGTTTTGTAACTTGACACCCACAATTGCCGTATCAGTTACTTTAGCATACCTATGCAAGTATTCACAGTTCATATTTCCATGCTGCATAAGCCCACAAACTCAGGGGTCCTGAGAAGAGCCTATGGAACAATGGCCCAAAGCAGCCCACCTCCGGGAAAGATAATGTTCATGGTGTTATGGGATCACAATGACTGTGCTGTCCTGAAATGTCCAATTGCACCTGCGGGGAAGATGATCAGGCATGCTGATGCTTCAAGAGTCTCTGTAATTATGTCCCGCAAATGCCAGCAGGTTCACTGTTTTTTGAAGGTCACTTTGCAGCTCTACCACTTCTTTATTTCCAATTAAATCAAAGAAAAACATAGAATTTAGAATGGCCAGAAACCTGAGCAACTCTTAGACATCTCCATCCTTATCTTCTCCCATTCTCACCCTCATTTATTCTGTTTTAGGAACACTGGCTCTTTCTGTGCCTTGTGCTTACCAGACTGGCTCCCTCTTCAGAACTTTGCATTCAGTAAACTATCTAGCATACTCCTCCTCAAAATATTTGTCATTATCTTGTTCCCATTATTCAGGCCTCAATGAGACCTTTCTATTTATAATGTGCCCTTCACCACCACTCATTTTCTAGCCTACATTTTTACAAGGTGTTTTGTTGTTGTTGTTGTTGTTGTTGTTGTATTGCCAGGCTCTCCAAAGGTGTGTGATACAACTCTACACTTTGGGTGATGACAAACAGCTGCAAACCATAGCACAACTGAGCCTCCTGTGAGAAAGGCCTATCACACCCGTCATGATTTAAAATTATCCTTTTAGGTTTGCTGTCTGTGACCACACCCCTGTCACCTGCTGCTTAGAGAATTGAGGGCATTTTACATTTATTTCCATTGTTTCACTTAGAACAATATCTAGCACAAAACAGGCATTCAATATATAATCTAAACTAAGGATAGATTTGGTCCACACCCTTTTATTTTAAACTAGAGGCCCGGTGCACAAAATTTGTGCACTTGGGGGGGAGGGGTCCTGCAGCCTGGCCTGCACCCTCTCGAAGTCTGGGAGCCCTCAGGGGATGTCCGACTACTGCGGAGGCGGGAGAGGCTCCCACCACCACTGCTGTGCTCACCAGCAGTGAGCCCGGCTTCTGGCTGAGCTGCTATCCCTTGTGGGAGCGCACTGACCATCAGGGGGCAGCTCCTGCATTGAGCATCTGTCCCCTGGTGGTCAGTGTGCATCATAGCGAACAGTTGTTCTGCTGTTTGGTCAATTTGCATATTAGCCTTTTATTATATAGGATGGGAAAGTGGAGTTATAAGTGATAGATTAGAGGGATGGATAGAGAAAGAAAATTGACAGCATATCTAAATGTAAGCAATGCATTCCCCCAAGACAATAACTTGGAATAATGTTTCTGAAACTTGAGAGTTAAAAAAGCCAACCTTGTTTTTGTCACTAGAAGAAAAATGGGTAGAGCTTTTTATTGTTCATATGTATGTATTTGTATTCTCAAAATTCAACATTAATATACATTTCCAGTTAAATTTACAATTCTACACATACTTGCTGACATTTGACAAAAGGCATACTGCAACACTGGATATGGCTCTTAGAGGCCTTGGAAGTGGCTCCTTGGTAATATGTACAATTCATTTTCATTTTTTCAAATCAGACTCATAATTTTTATATTAAATATATTGCATTTATTTAAATTTATTGGGTGACATTGGTTAATAAGATTATATAGGTTTCAAGTGTACCGTTCTATGATACATCATCTGTATATTGCATTGTGTGCCCACCACCCAAAGTCAGATCTTCTGTCATCATATATTTGACCCCCTTTATCCTTTGCTACCTCTCCACCCTCCTCTCTGGTACTCACATACTGTTGTCTGTGTCTATGAGCCTAAAAATTCCACCAAAGAACTAATAGAAACAATAAATATAGTAAAGTTGCAGGAAACAGAAATCAATGTCCAAAAATCCACTGCATTCCTATATACTAACAATGAAATTTCAGAAAAAGAAATTAAAAAAAAAACAAAAACAAATTCCTTTTTTAATTGCAAGAAAAGGCTAAAACACTGACGAATAAGCTTAGCAAAGGATGCAAATATACTGGATTTTAACTGGTGATTTTATTTTCAACCCCCTCATTCTAAAATAACCTGTAATTAAAGTCATTTAATATGTAAAAATTCTGAAGTATATCATTCTGAAGTAAATTACCACCTTCATTATTTCAGTCAGAAATTATACCTTTATACCTATGGATTTTTTAAAGTTTAAGGTTGGCGTTATCCCTGTCTTTATTAAATCACAGAACA